CTTATCGCCACCGAGCCCAGTCCTGCCCTTAGGAACCGATTAAACTTTAGACCCCTGTTTGTACAGATCTTCCCGTACGTCTCATGCGCTCTCCAAGGCGATTGCCGCAGGGGTTGAGAGGTGCCTGAGCTCCCCATTACCACTGTTAACAGCCCATCTCCCGGCCAGTGTGTCAGGTCCAGGAGCCAGTGGGGACAGGGGTGACACTGGGGTGCTCACATGCAGCTTTCACTGGAGCAGGGAGCAAACCCAGGAGCGGGGGGGTGGCGAGGTGATGCTCCCACCAGGATGGCTGCAGCAGCCGTCCAGAGGGCTACTGACAGGGCTGGTGGGGTGCGCTGGGGGGTACTGGTACCTCTGAGCGATGGGCAGGGCTGTGGGCGGCAGCTCACGCACGAGACCCAGAGGCACCTTCGGATGTGCCACCCACATGGCAGCAGCACCCAGGCCTGCGTGGGTTGCACCCGGTGCTCGGCCTCCGAAGCCGAAGCCCCTGGGCAAAGCAAGGGGCGCGTGCCCAAAGCGGGGTGCTGAGCCAGCTCGGGGTGCGTCCGTGCAAATGGCACATGCACGGAGCAGGGTGTCGCTGGGTGTCTGGCCAGGAAACCAGGCAAGTCATACAAAAGCAATTTGTCCCACCTTGCTTCCATCTTGTCTTGTTCAATCACTGCTCTTACTCATTTTCTTCTTACCTCCCTCACCAGCATTCCCCAGCCTGGGTCCTGACCCCTCCCTGCTGGCTGGGATGGCCCCAACTGCCCAAATGCTGCTGCGACACGGGGACACCGGAACAGCCCAGGGAGCCGTGGCTCCAGAGCGGGAGGAGGCGGCGATGCTCAGCACTTACCCCTTTGGGCAGGGAAAGGTCAGAGGGAGCAGAGCTTGGCTACGCACAATTACTTCTAGTAAGATCCGGACTTACAAAATCTTACGCAAGTCAAAAAATATTTTTCAGTAGGACTTGGGTGTCTGGCTAGAGTAGGCCCAAGGACCCTTTTTTTAAGGAAACGTGTTTTTTTTTTCTTCAAAAATGAACCATTTCATAGTGCTGTGTCACTTCAACAAAATTCCTATTTGTTTTTTTTTAATGGTCCAAATATTGTGTTTTGCAATTTACAATGTTTTTTATATTCCGAGTCAAATTCTGATGCGTGCTTCTGCCCAAAGCTTTAGGTTAATTTCCGGTAATTTTGAGATTGCAATTTGAAATAACACTCCTGCTTTCTGCAGCCTTCCTCTCCCGGAGGCAGCGGTCTGCAGCCACTTGCAGGGTTTGGGGGTGTTTGGCCAAGTCAGGTGCGGAGCAGCACCCCCGAAATCCTAAATCTGTCCCTGGAGAGGGGCCCCTCTTCCTCTCCCCGCCGCCCCAGCCCGCCTCTGCGCTCCCGAACCCCCTCTCCGGCCCCTCGCTCT